TCATATGTTTCACAACATAAAAAAGATCAACGATCGATTTTGTCACATGTGATAAAACGAATGTCCACTATGCTCCTATAACCTGTGTGCTAAAAACCTTAATCTGTTTTGCTATGTTCACATCAATATTAAGGTGATTTCTTAAAATAGCCACCAAATTTAGAATATCAGTATGCAATTTTTTTTGGTGTCACCAGCAGTGTGAGCTATTATTTGGTTTCCTGGTGGACCTGCTACTTCCTGAATATATCATATATTAATATAAAAAGAAGGAAAGATTAAGGATATTAATTCGTTTTTTTTTTTTTTTTTTTTTTTTTTTTTTTTTTTTTTTTTTTTTTGTTTTTTTTGTTTTTTTTTTTTTTTTTTTTTGTCAAGAACAAAAAACAATGATTAATTCTTTTAAAATCAAATTTTTTTTAACATAAAAAAAAGGATTAAACAACATGAAGAAAAATCTTCTAAACAAAAGGACACTCAAGCACTTTCTGAAGGTGCTATTCCAACATATTTGATGGATCGTGAGAAACAACAAAGAGCGAAAATATTATCAAATATGATAAAACAAAAACGAAAAGAAAAGGCTGGGAAATGGACTGTTCCATTACCTAAAGTTCGTGGTATTGCAGAAGATGAAATGTTTAGAGTAGTAAAAACTGGAAAGAGAAAAAGTATATATACATTATACATATACATATACATTAGCATTTATATTTATAGTAAAAAATATTAATAGTTTAGAAAATTTATTTTTTTAGCAAAACAGTGGAAACGTATGGTAACAAAGGCAACATTTGTTGGTGATGGTTTTACTAGGAAACCTCCTAAATATGAAAGATTTATTAGACCGATGGCTTTACGTTATAAAAAGGCACATGTTACACATCCTGAATTAGCAGCCACTTTTCATTTGCCAATCATCAGTGTTAAGAAAAATCCTCAAAGTCCTTTATATACTCAACTCGGTGTTATAACTAAAGGAACAGTTGTAGAGGTGAGCTCTACAGATGTATATTTATTTATTTGTTGTTATTATTAATAATTACTTTAATTATTAATTTACTTGATTTATTATTCACAAAACCATGTATGTATATTAGGTTAATGTTTCAGAATTAGGACTTGTAACAACAACAGGAAAAGTTGTATGGGGAAAATATGCTCAAGGTATGTAAATAATCATGATAGTAATTATGATCATTATTTATTATTAATCTTATCTTTTCTTTTCATTTTAAAAAAGTTACAAACAATCCCGAAAATGATGGATGTATTAATGCAGTTTTACTAGTATAAAAGAAAAAAAAATTTGCAAATGTTATTATATAGAAAAAAATTTTTTTTTTAATATTTAATAACTTTATTAATTAATTAAATAAAGAATGTTCAGTAGAATAAGTTCAGTAAAATCAATAATGCTTTTTCTTTTTT